AATCAGGCAGCGATGACAGAGAGGGTTATGGTCTGATTATGATTGTTGATCAATGACAGTTATGTATTGACAGTTTGAGGTAATTAACAACAACAACGATCACAATGAAATTAGTCCAATAGGGGGGTCTAGTTGTGGTGTAAAGGTGGTGATCAAATGGTGGTAGTCCAACGACGACTATGGGTTGATGATTTCTATTAGGCAATGGTAGCCCTACTACTTGGGTTTGGTGGCATTGATCTTATACTGGTTGGCAAACAACAGTGGTTTGATGGCGGTTTGATGTGTTATTTGAGCAACACCAATTGTTTGATAGGACTCTAAAATTGTCTAAATATCTAAGCTCGCTCGCTCTCTCTCTAAACACCCCCTCTCCTTCTCGCTCTCTTCTTTCTTCCTAACCCTTTCATACATAGGATGAAAGTTTATGTCTCTATTTCTAGTGTGGTATTTTTGTTATTTATAACAAGGTCTTAAAATACCCTATTAGATGGCTTGAAGTAAATCTCATTGATATGTATTAAATGTATTAGTGCCTTAATAATGCTATAATGTTCATTAAACTTATTTTGGCGTGGCACTAGGCTAGATTATAGACATGCAATATTTGAAGTTCATATGATGTTCCAACTAATATCTAAAAAATTGCAATTATACTTCAAATGATTTACTTGGGATCATTTGGAGCCCATTAGATTACTTCTATCTTTTGATAGATTCTTCTCATGGAAACACCCAAATTGGTTATAAATATATTAAAATCAGAGCCCAAATGATTTTAAATTGGAAAATTCACTTATGTGCACTCAATTCTTATGGATTTACTATCTCACACCCAAACATTCATACTTACTTGCACAACACTTTACCTATGTATGAAAGGTGGATTTGACCATTAAAATTTAATTTATCATCAATTTTTTTTGAACCATATCATTAATAATTTTATAGAATTTTTTTTATGAGCAAACCTTCACCAAAAGCTATTCAAAATGAGTCTTAATGATATTAGATTTTATTTAACATAAGCAAAATATTACTTACTTATTTTTAACTCTCATATCAAAATAGATTCGAGAGATTTGAGACACAACAAGTTGAAATTTTTTATAAGAAAATATTCACATTTTTTTCCTAGTTTTGCTCGCTCTCTTTTCTCTGAATCATATACACTTTTAAAAAATATAACTTAGAATTTTTTTAGAAAAAGCTGGATGACGAAGATGGCATTGGCATTATGCACTTTGCTTTGTTCTGTATGATGCATTGCTTTTTTGTTTGTTTTGGACATTGAGTATTCTTCATTTTTTGTTCTTTGTCTTTTGTAATTTGATTTTTTTTCTATGGAATAAATTAAATCAGAGCGAGGTTCTCATTTTTCCAAAAAATAAAGATAAAAATGAAAAAAAAAAACATTTTTTTAAGAAAATGAATATCTAAACATCAAATGAGCAACCTCTTTACAATGTCATATTACAAGCACAACTAATATTCCACCTGTTTATACTCCCTCTTAAGTGTATTTATATGTCAATCTTACAAAATTAGCAGTAATTAAATCAGGCCACGCCAAGTTTATTTAATTATATTGGAAGTATTTTGGCTTAGTTTGCTTTGGATTGTCCTATCTGATAACCACTAGCAAAACTATCTGTAGAATAAAACTAATCCCAGACATATTTCCAGCTAATTTTTTATAGAGCTTCATGATTGGAAGAATTCAAGCATGCCGGCACTATATTTTCCAATTTATTCAGTGCCATTTAAAAAATAATGTTAGAGTGGGTCTCTTTTTAATTTTTGTGGATCAATCATATATTATATTTTTACTCGATACGCTAAAACTCTTAAAATTAATCATTAAATAATGTCTTCTTTGGCCTTTTCTTCTAGCGTTTGTGTTTTATAAGAAAGCTAAAATGATTATTAGATTAATTTAAAATGCTTTTTGTGATGATATGAACACTAATTTATGCATTTTTGCAAGTGTAAACATATATAAGAAAATTTTATTTTATTTTTTGTTCTCATCTTTGTGATCTATATGGTTTGCAACTATTAACTTGGAATAAGATCGGCTGAGATCAGTATTCGCAACAAGTTTCTCTATAGATATTTTTGTGATTGAAAGTATTAGTCACAAATAGTTTGTATTGAGCCAATTTTCAACAATTTTATCAATCTAAAAATATAATTTAACGTGAGCTTTATGTGATGTTCTTCTTTGGTTGATGGCTTCCATTAATAATGGTTTCAAATAAAGATTTGAATATAATATATCCAATAGATTGAATTGAACGATAAAAATGTGTGCGAGTGAGGGTGATCATTGTCATCTATCTCCCTTGGGACATAATTTTTAGAAAGATATATAAATGAAGAGAAATGATTCTCAATAAAATATGCTTAGCTATTAGAAGAAAGAGCAAAAAATGGAAGTATAAAGGGAATATTCCTTCCCATATCAGTATCCTTTAAATGTTTTATTTGATGACTTCTTTGGTTGGGATTGGTTCTTTCCTCTTTATGTGTTACAAGTACTTTGTTATACTTTTGAAAATGTTGCTTGGTGATTATTTGCTTATGGAGTTTTGTTGTCTATTTCTTTTTAATTTTTGTTTAGTATTTCTAGTCAAAAATTTTGATAAAATATAAGTAATTTTAGCTTTTGATGGATTGATGCACTATATTTCATGTCATTTTTTGTGGCAAATATCATATGATTATATTTTATATTTTTTTCATACATTATTGACAATGTTTCATGTTTTTTGGAGATTCAACTAAATGTCTTGGTAGGTTGTGTTATTTTTCCCCACACATGTGTTATTTCATGAATGTTTTTTGGACAGTTATATTTTATATTTTTTTCATATATTATTGACAATATTTCATGTTTTTTGGAGATTCAACGAAATGTCTTGGTAGGTTGTGTTATTTTTCTCCACACATGTGTTATTTCATGAATGTTTTTTGGACATTCATTTTGGAATATGAATGTGCCTTCATTGACATATTTTATCTTCTTATCTATTGAACTTGAATAAACACTTTTAGGATCCAATTTTTTCTGTCTTACTTCTTAGGATCCAATTTTTTTTGTCTTGCCACTCCTCCTAATTCTTCAATTAGAAGTTGCTTCGTGCTCATGGATTTTCTTACACCTTTAAGCATCTTAGGTGGAAGTCTCCTAAATATTAGCTTTTTGGCATGCTTTTGGAGAGCTATGATAAAAAAACAACACAAGCAATGAGCTCAACCGATTATCTATATTAGTGATCCTTCTGTGGGCTAGGTATTCTGATTGAAGATACTACACAAGTGCTTTGTTATTATTCTTATGTTTAGAGAAACACTCTTTTGCTAATTGATGTATAATCTTGCATTCTTGAATTGTACTTTTCACCTATGCCAAACTAAAATTATTTTTTTTGCATTCCTTGACTAATTTGTCGGTCATTAAAATAGTAATTTCCCATCGAAATTATTGTATTTTTTTAGTCCTTATTTGGTGTTTTATGGATAGTTTCTTTTCATCATTTTTATCGGTTTATAATTTTTTTCTTTGATTTCGTTTTATAGTTTGTTGTTTGTTTAAAGTTCTATAGCTTCTCCTTCAATTATTCTTTTGTATATGAGATCTTTATATATATATATATATATATAATGTATATGTTTTTTGAGCATAGCCCACTATTCCAAAAAAAAAAAAAGTTCCATAAAAAAGATTCAGCATGCCGGCACGCTTAAGAAACTAACCCGACCCAATCTGGTCCGCCTCAAATATATTCATCCATTTAAGTCTTCATTCATCAGAATTGGGGATATTTTATGAATTATTTTTTACAAATTTGTGTGTTTTTTATCAAGTAAAATAGCTTGTTAATTTAACTCATCCTCTTAGTGGCGTCGAGATTAATGCATTGCCTGATAAGTTAAGGTTGGTCAGATTAGATAATTGCAATCCTAACGTCAACCATGACAAGTCAACACAAAAATGGACATGCAGAATTGCACGTGTCCTTCTTACAAATCAAAACATTGGAAAATCACACGCCAGTGGAACCGGACTGGCCATGAAGTTCTACATTCTATGGTTTAACAAAATAGAAAAAATTATCTTTGAAACCAATCTTCCTCTAAATTATTCATTCATTTTGTCACCAAATGCAATCAGGATTACAATGGCTTCAACTAATCTTAAACTGATTTGGTTCATTTTTTAGGATCTCCAAGATTTTTTAGGGGATTTACGTACATATCACCAGATTCTTATTAATGTTCATATTTAACACGCAAAATTTTAATATTAACGGCATACCATCCAACTCTCTCCGACTTCACACGTCCAATACTCTGTTAATTAGTCTACAAACACCGCAGAATGAGAGTTCGAGCGTCTTGTTACAAACAAAAATATTGCACCATCAGTCCTGATGCGATTTTACATCAGAACTCTAATCAGAGCATGCCACGCGTACATGCATACCCACCTTAGTAAAAAAAAATAATTTAATACATGAGTGGGTCTGTCTATATATATGATAAATCTTGATTGGACGCTTGATACAAAACTCCATCAGGACTCCAAATGCAATATTTTTTCTTTCGTAAGCCATGATCCCGCCGCTGCCCGCTCATCTTGTTTTTCCCACCCTAATTTGGACGACAACTATTAAATGCACCACCTCAAAAGTATTGATCATAATCCCCTACCGGCGGCATGTACGTATGTAAATCCTCCCATACATTTGAGAGATCAATGGTTTTAATAAGCATGGGGTGGTATGTATGTAAATACTCCCAATTTTTATACGGACGTATTATTCAAAACTAAAATAGTCGTTTCAATTATGCGGTTACCGCTAATAAACAAAACTACTTATATTAATAAATCTTTTTCGGTCCAACCGCGAGGCGTGAACAATATGAAAATTTCCGTTCGGGAAAGCAACCGTTTGTCCAGTCAGCGAGATTTGACCAGGGATTTCGCTGTAATAAACTGCAAGGGTAGAAGGGTCTGTTTGCCTCGTTGCTTAATCCCCTCTCAATTCCGGTATTTAAACCAGGAGAAAGTCTTCCTCCACCAGGCAATCTTCACATTCGGGACAAACAACAGGGGAAAAAAGAGATAAAGATGCAGACCCGAAGCGGGCTTTGCTACCCTCGGCCGCCGCCGGCAGCGAAGTCGCTTAAGACAAAGAGGTGTTACGATGGCGGTGATGGTGTCGAGCCTCGGAAGAGAGCTTGCACCGCGGACCAGAGAAACGATTATTTCAACGGTCTGCCGGCGAGAAGGCATTCTTCATATTCGGACAAACAAGACGGCGAGAAAATTAGGAAGATGGACAAAAGAAGTGAGCTTAGACACACTCGGCCACCGCCGGTGGTGATGTCGCCTAAGAGGGGCTACGAGGGAGATGGTGGTGAACCTCGGAAGAGAGCTCGATCGGCGGAGCAGAGAATCGATTTTTTCAACGGTTTGCCGGACGACCTCGTCCTCCTGATCTTCTCAAAGCTCTCCGCTTCTGCTGCCTGCCCTTCTGATCTCATCAGCGTCTTCCTTACGTAAGCCGGATTACGTTTTTTCTTTTTTTTTTACCCCGAATAAATCGAATTTTGAAGGCCTGTTTTAAAAAGATCTGATTTTTTGTTTTTTCTTTTTTTCTTTTTTTACCCCGAATAAATCAAATTTTGAAGGCCTGTTTTAAAAAGATCTGATTTTTATGAACAGATGCCGGAGATTTAATCAATTAGCGATGCAAAGAATGGTTCTTTCCAAGCTATCTGTCAAGGGGACTGCTGTAAGGGCTAAGAACTGGACGGAATCAACCCATAAATTTCTACAACGCTGCGCGGAAGCAGGCAATTTTGAGGCTAGCTACACTTTAGGCATGATCTGTTTCTATTGTTTGCAAAACAGGGGACTTGGAGCCTCACTGCTAACAAAAGCTGCCATGGCGTCTCACCCTGAAGCTCTCCACTCCCTCTCTATCATTCAATTCAACGGTAGCGGTGGATCTAAGGAAGACAAAGATCTCCGAGCTGGCGTCGCGCTATGCGCCCGCGCAGCTTACCACGGCCACATAGACGCGATTCGCGAGCTCGGACACTGTTTACAGGATGGCTACGGTGTGCGGCAGAACGTCGCGGAAGGGAGACGGTTCTTACTCCAAGCGAACACCCGAGAGCTCGCTGCTGTGAGGAAAGGTAGAGTACCTGTATCGTTCTCTCGTTGTTCTCTGCTTAGCGACTTCGGATGCAACGTACCGACGCCGGAAGCACATCCGGCGAACCGTTTCATGGTGGAGTGGTTCGCGGCGAGGGGCGGACCGGCGGCGGCTGATGAAGGGAAAGAAGGGCTGAGGATGTGTTCACATAGCGGTTGTGGCCGGCCGGAGACGCGGCGTCATGAGTTCCGGCGATGTTCGGTTTGTGGGGCGGTGAATTATTGCTCGCGAGCGTGTCAGGCGATGCACTGGAAGACGACGCATAAGGGCGAGTGTGCGCCCATGGAGAGGTGGCTTGAAGGGCAGGGTGCGGTAGAGGTGGGGCAAGCTGACTTGGTGGTTGCCGGCGATGCTCCGGCGGCGGCTGATGTTCCAATGGAAGTAAATTTGTAGGATGGGAGGGTATATTTTGTAGGAGACTTTCTGAGGTTTTGTATTTTTTTTTTTTTTGGTAATTTATTTAACATTTTTTGTGGAATAGTTTTGGCATTTTTCTAGTTTTTTCTTATTTTTTCTTCTTTTATTTTCACTTCTTAGGCATTTTTCTAGTTTTTCTTATTTTTTCTTCTTTTATTTTCACTTCTTTTACTGTTGTTTTCTGGTATTTATAGATTATTTGGGAATTGAGACGTTGTTTTTCTTTTTTAAATACTGGACGCAATTACTTTTTTATGTTTTGAGTTCATTTTTTTTTAATTCCCTAACTAATTTTTTCTATTTTAGTTATATAAGGGCTTAATCAGGTTATGTTTAGGTTATATATTCACGCCTATATATATATACATGCATACATTTGAGAATTTTGTCCTTTTTGGCAGAATGTTACTATAAGGTATTTTAGATTAAAATGAATCTCAGATTTATTAAATATATGTTGAAAATATTATAACATATCAAAATTTAAGTTATGTAAAATTAAATCATTATGATGATGATCTGAGATGTGTTTTTTGTCTTTTTGTTTGGTACTTTAAATAAGATGTATCATACAGGACGGTTGGATGATTTTCTTGCCATACACTAATGCGTGAAATTAAAACATCAAATCTAGAATATTTAATTACAGTATATTATTTAGTTAATTAATGCAGCTAAATTATACCGATAATGTATAATAACTTAGCTATATTTATTTTTTATTGTACCATATTATATAATTGTTTATTGATATTGAAGGATAATAATTAATGCATGAAATTAAGAATAAAATAAGAGAAAAATAATCCAACTTTGACATTGAACTCGGATTCTTTTTTTTTTTCGAATAATTTCACAGCTTGTGGATGTAAAAACAAATTTTAGTTTTGTTGGGCGAAATTGTAAAATTGGAATAAGGCGAGCAGGCGACATATGCAAATTGGAAACTCGAATCGAATCTTGGCCTACTTTGTACCTTTCTGACTCCTCTTTATCTTTCTGTAATTTCCTTTTTGTTGGAGCAAAATGAATATATATATATATATATTCCAAGTTAAAAATTACACGGTTGGAAAATACATACAAATTTTAAAAATCTTCAAATGTTTTATTTAAGCATAGAGTATTATTTCAAAAAAAAAAAGAAAAAGAAAGTGGAAGGTGAGTATTAGTGCGGAAAAGATAAATGCAGATAGATACATATTTGATAAAATTAAGATAAAATAATATAGTAAAACCAATAAATATCATCAATTCACTTGTACAGATTCCACATGTAATATTCACTCCTGAAAAATAATGACGATTAATTGAATCATGGAAAGCTCGTCAGAATATGCAAATTATTTACTTTTTTTTTGTTCTTTTTTTTTGTTATTTTTTCATTACATATTTATAATAAAGTTTGGGGGGTTAATTTGGGTACATATCACATGAAACCACTCTATTCAGCTAACACCTAAACCCTATTAATTGCCATTCTAGTATCCAAAATTTCTCTTTCCACCAAAAATGGCACTCAATTGACCCATTCGGTTAACTTCTTGTTTGCCCATTCGGTTAACTTCTTGTTCGACAACCGTCTTCATGCCGTTCCTCCGTGAATCTGCCCACGTCATCCGATTCCTCCGTTCTTACAGGAAGAGTTCCTCCCCGACTCCATTCAACTCCACCGCGTTAGCAAACATCCATCCCCAAAAATAAACTTATTGATTTCTAAACGTTAGTTAGCTTAATGAGGCTCAGGAATGGGAGGAAGAGGATTGTTGAACAACGAGTTAATGAAAGGGGTGAAGCAAAAGAAGACGTATATGTTATGGGCGGTAGAACTTAATACTAGAATGCACAGACACCCAACTATTTAATAAAAATAATTTTTTTTTCTAAAATTAAAAATATTCGACTAATCATGTTATATATAATTAAAAAAAAAACAAATAAATTACATTCGTATCAAATGTATTTCTAAAAGAAGAAAATAAAAAAAAATTAAAAATATAACAGACTAAAAATAAAAATAAAAATAGGAAACAAAAAGTGATCCCAAAAAGACTCTTAAGTGTTAGAATATTAAATAATTTGTTTTAGGTTTAGGTAAGTAATTTCTTGTGGTATCTATGTAAATTTCCTAAAGTTCATGGAAAATTCAGCTAAAAAGCAGGCCACTTTAAGGCCTCAAAAGTAGAGGTGTGCGTTAATTGGTCAAAATAAAGAAATCGGTTAATCTCTTTTTCTTTCTTTTTTTTTATTTCTTTTTTTAAAAGGAATTGATATTTACGGAGCACTAATTTTGTCCCCTAAATACCGATTCCCCATATGTGCTAATTCAACTTAGCTGGGATTTGAACTCGAGATAAAGGAGATTTACGTCGAAGTTGTCATCCAACAGACCTCGGTTGCGCACAAACAGATCAATTCAGTTTCAAAAATAGTTTTCAATTTTCGGTTTTTAAAATTTTAAAATTTAATTTTTTTTTTATTTTTGATTGGATTTTAATTTTCATTTAATTGAAGAGACAAAAAAGTTGAAGTTTTATTAAAATTTTTATTATAATTTAATTTCAAGTAGAATAAATTTAAAAGAATCAAAATTTTTATTATATTTTTTAATATTTCATTAAAATAAATTGATGATTGATAAAATTAAATTGATATTATGTATATAAGATATGTAATTCTTAATACTTCTTCATAGTCCAATACTAACAAACAATTAAATTTTGGTTTTTTCATGATCGAAACGTTTAAGACAAATTAAATTTTGGTTAGGTGAATTTGGTTTTCTGGATTTTAGATTTCGGTTTGTAATTGATTTGACCAATTTTAAAATTGATCCATCCAACCCCACTGAATGGTCGCCCCTACACAAAAGATAAGGTTCTCACATATTACAATATATTTGCTTCACTTCACAATGTGGTTGATTGAGTTTAATAGAGCATAATGGGTGTATTTCTTACAATACACGAGGCAAATTGAGTTCAATTTGTTAAGTGATTTTATTTTCCGCATTATTTTGCACAATATCGTAGCCGAATTAGTGGGATTCTAAAAATAAGCCATTACAATTCTGACAAAGTCGAGGACAAAAGGCAAATAAATCAAAGCAAGTTAGGGAAGATCTAGTGGAGCCATATATAATATTATGTTGTCAGATACTTCAACATCTACCACGATATTGGAAAAGACGTTGATTCATCGGGTGATTACACATCTCATCATGATTAATGTGAAAAGATTTGATGATAAATCGAATATTGGCATGTGGCAGTATGGGTGTTGGATGCGTTTTGTTTTTCGAATATGGAGGAAGTTCTCGAATAATTAACATCTTGATGAAATGTTAGAAGGTGGTTAGTTAAAAATGAATCAGAGTGCTTGTGACTATGAAAGATTGTGAAAAACACTAGAATATAAAATTCTCATGAAAAGCATGAAAAATCGACTCCACAGGAAGTGTCAACTCTACAAATTTTAGATGCGATGTGGAGTTACTACTGATGAGCATTTGAATTATTTTACAAAACTGCTAGCATATCTCTTAAATTTGGATGGTAGGTTGGAAAAGAAGACGAGACAGTTCTTCTATTAAATTCGCTCTCAAATGAGTACAAAAACTTCATGATGACTCTCATTGATGAAAATAATGTCTTGAATTATGACGACATAACTACGACATTGTTGAATCATGAGTTTCGTCCAAGAAACAGAGGGTCCACAAAAATGGAGTGGGCTAACACACTTTCACCAACATGGCAGATATGAGAAGAACAAAAATTGAGCAAAGAATGATGACAATCGTGATACTTCTCAAAAGTTAGACAAATCTCAAGGGCACAGTCTTAAAAAAAAATCAGTGTGTTTTCTTTTTAGAGACATGTCATTAGAATAAAGATTGCTTGAAGTTGAAGGAGAAGAGAAAGAGAGTTTCCTCTAAGATGAAAGTGATTTTTATTGCAGAGTTGTATGACCAGACTAATTCAGATGTATGGTTATCTTGAGTTTTTCATAGTTTTTATAAAAATGATTATTTCTGGATTCTATACATAGGTGCTACCTATCCCATCTGTCCTAATCAAGAGTAGTTCTGTATGCTCAAAAAACTTGATAGTGGTGTAGTGACTATGTGTAACGATCCAGCTTTTGTGTTATTAGTGTAAGGGGCATATTTATTAGAATGCATGATGATATTATGTGAGAGTTGATTGATGTTAAACATATTACGAGTATCAAGAAGAATTTGTTGTAAATTAGGTTCTTATAGTCCAAGGGCTACAAGGAAGTTTTTAAGGTAGGAGTTCTGAAAATATGTCTTGGAATACTAATTTTTTATGCAGGAAGTTTGTTGTCACAACATTTATTATCTTCAGGGTAGTTTAGTGACAATGGCTGCTACTGTTATTGAGGATACTTTTGACACCAATATATTGTGGCATACGTAAATAAATCAGAAGGCTTCACCTGACACTTTAGAGAAGCAATGATTAGTCAAAGAAGTGAGCACTTATAAGCTCAATTTTTGTAAACATTGTGTGCTTTGTAAGAAGTTGTGAGTATCTTTTAATACTATGATCCAGATTGGAAAGGATGTTTTATAGTACGTTCACATATATATTTGGGGCCTGTCGAAGATGAAATCATTTGACGTACTGAGAAATTCTATTTATTTCATCGATGATTACTTCAAATATGTTTGTGTGTACACCATGAAGCTCAAGAGCAAGGTGCTGGAGATTTTCATGACTTGAAAGAAATGTACTAAGACTCAAAGTTGGTAATAGAGGGTGAAAGAAAATTGAATGTGCCCTTGCAAGAGTGTAAGAGAGTTGAGATAGAGCACCATTTCACTATTTGAAAGTTCCCGATGCAAAACTAAGTGCCATAGAGGATGAACCGAACTTTGGTGGAGAAAATTTTTTTTTATGTTGTCTAATGCTAGGTTAGATAGAGTCTATTAGGTCGGAGATATATATCCTAAAATCAGCTTGACTGATAGATCACATTGCATTTGTACTTTCAATCATATAGACTAAAATTCTTTGTCACTACAAG